ACTCTTTACTGCTGAAATTACAGAAGGGGTTGATAACACTTCTTGGTTTATAGAGCCATGATACAGATGCATATTCTCGAAGGAGAAAAGACAACCCAAACCTGTTGCACTGAATTTTTCAATCATTTTAAAAAAGCACAGGTACCCAACACAGGGATAATGAGCTCCTAATTGTCCTGCAGAAGGGAATCAAGTATCTTGTAAAAAAAAAAAAAAGACACTGGCATGTACATACATATGTATTTTCAAATATTGCCCGGTCTTAACCTTTTATTTAAATTTAAACTTCAAAACTTTGAGTGGTGCCCACTGAATCTGCAGCCTAATAATATTTTCAGCCATACTCAGTGTTCTTCTGTTAAGATAGTACATTTTTCCTAAAAAATGCTGTATGAAGCAGGAAAATAACTGATCAGATTAGACATGCCTGCATGTGGTTACTTACATAATTACATACAAATACACACACACATGTTATCAGTCTGTAAAGAATTCTAATAACATCACACATGTTGTTTCACTTCTACCAAATACTTTCAATTAGGTATTGAGAAACATAAAGCACAGACTAGTGTCAAAACTTAAACCAAGAACACAGTATTCCCAGGTACGGTGGTTAACCAGCTTTATGCTTTCCGTTAGCTCAGGGATGAAGCTGATTTTTATTAGCTTAGAAGGGGAGCCCTCTGCCGGGTGAGCCACAGACCCACAGCATCCATCCCTGCTGTCCTCCATCCACTCTCTTCCTGGGACACACTGTCCTCCGCAAGCTCCAAACCACGCTCAGCGCTGCTCATTCTCCAGCCAAGACTGACCACGATGCAGGAAAGCCCTGACAAGGGAGAGCGTTCCTACACATTTATGTCCCCAGGACATTACTGACAGGGCTGTGGTCTCAGCCTGACCACTGTAGCAGCCCACAGGAGCTTTAAGTTCAATTCCAACACCTGACCAGCCTTTACACTCCCCTGTTCTGGCTGTTACGCTACCACACTTGCTAATATCTTGTGTAGCTAAAAGCAAAGTGTCTGCACCTTGGTAATACTTACAGGATTTCCACCCCATCCCCAACAAGTGAGCAGTTATATGTAAGACAGTCTTACTACCTCGCTCATTCTTACCTATGACCCTGTGACTAGTAAGGCCTACCTCTTCAGGCTTAGAACTGCAATATTTCACAGTTTGAGACATTATTTACAACGTTATGTACAAGCCTGGGAAACGTGGATAAACTAGGATAGACAGCCTTGACAAAGCAGCTCAGCTTGAGTCAGTGCACAGGCTGTTAGAGGCTTTGATTCGTCCATAAGACAAGGCAGCTCTTTCCTGTATCTGCAGTAGCTCTTCCTCTGATCTTCACCAGCAACACTGCCAGCTCCCCACATCCCCTTGCTCTCTTGCCATGTCCCCCTTCCTCTTTGCCTTCCTGAGATAATACAGACCTTAACCTCAAACACCCAAAGCCCCTCCATGCTCTCTGACACATCCTCAGTTCCAGAGAGGAACCCTATCTCCCTGAACTCTCACCCAAAATCACCTCCCACCTCTCCCATCATTCCACCTTTCTCTGCATGACCTACCTTCCCAGCTACTAGCTCCAAACTCACCGTGCTGCCCTGAGCACTTGCCAAGTCCCATGGACAGCTCTGGGATCTGCACCCAAGGCAAGCTTCCTCCAGACAGAAAAGCCAGGAGCCTTTAAGACCCTTGACAATTAATTGAAAAAGACACTAGTCTTCTATAGCTATAAATACAGCCTATTTCTCAATATTTACCTTCACAAGTCTGAAAGAAGTGTGAGATTCTGTGAGATATCAGCAGCACTGTTTGCTAAAATGTTACAATTATTTTCTTCTAATAGCACCTTTTTGAATAGCATATTTAGACACACTTGGTTTCTGACTGCAAAATCATCATTAGTCTTTAAATTAATGCCTGTGTAGCTGTATGTCAAGTTAGGGTGTTCAAACACGATGTGAAATCATCTAGCTTGCCCACTAAACACTATCTTTTGGCTCTTCTAGTCATAAATTTGAAGAATGAGGCAGGAATCAGACAACTGATGTAGTTTTCTCCAGTAACATTACTTTGTCTTCACCTACTATGCATGAATCTATGACTCTCTGAACAGGCATTGTAGCTTTAATACTTTAACGTTTGTAGAGGACTAAGCAGTATTCTGATTCTCAAACTAAAATGCATAGTTTGCTGACAAACACTTTGACAGAGAAAAAAATCAACAATCCAGTTGTTCTGTGACAAAACAAGTAATGGTCTATGAGTAACACCTCTTTATGCCTCATGGCATGCAAAGCATCACTCTAGCTAAAAGATGTCCAATTAAACAATACTCAATTTAAGATACTAATTTTAAGATACAATAAGATATAAAGTCCAGCTGCTTACTTTCTATTGCTTTCAGGCAAGAAGGATAATTAGTGGGTGATGTGGTAAGAAATAAACCCCACAGTTGTGCAAAGATCTCCCTATTCAGATCAGTTATCTCCAACCCTGCACTTAACGCATGTAAGTACTGCGTAAGATACCACTAGAACTGCATGCACAGCTTGTTTCAGACAGAATGTTCTCATCTTAAAAGAAAGAAGAAAGAAAGAAAGGAGGAAGCCATCACTCCAGCCTGTGAAAAACAGAAATCTGGCACTATTAGCTTCCCTGTTATCACATAGTTGTCATGACAGAATTTTACTTGTTGAAAATAATTTCTCCTTAAAACCCCTTAACTTCTCCACTCGTACAATCCTATTACAGACAATCATTCTCAGAACACTCACACAACAAATAAGGTATCTTTCCTTGGAATCTTCCTTTTTATTACTATGTCTCTAAACAATCTTTATGGAAAATTAAGCCACTACAAGCAATAATCTTGAAAATGACAGTTCTGAAGAACACATCTTAGAGACTTCTATGAGAACTATGGAAACAGACCACTTCAGGTCACTGAATGATTTTTTGGTGTGGAAAAGAGATTCATGTCCTAATCCTGCAAACTTACAGAACATTCTGTAAGATTCAACTTTTGAAAATTATTCTAGCACTTTGCAGGCCTCAGAGCAGATGCTAAGTAACCAAGACTACAAAGCCTGAAAATTTGCATCTGAGTTTTTTTCAGTATATTAATAGACATGCAAATGTTCTACTAAATAAACATTCCACTGGACAGGATGGACTTTGAAATGCACAGGGAAGGAGTTCTATTTTTGTAACAGGTCACATGAAAAAAACCCGTGAGGACCCTCAAAATAAACCATCACATTATGGAATATTAGTTAATGCAGAAGTACTATTAGAAACTATCAGCTGTTACGATTATAATTATCAGTGCAGTGCCAAACTCTATAAACTTGATGGATACAATGACATTTTTCAAGCACCTAATGATACTCTCAGGATGACTAGGATGACTAGACTTCTTGTCCTCATTAGTAGTTCTAATATTAACACCTTTCACTTTTATACTCTGCTCACTTGAAGCTGCTCAGGAAGATTTGCAACCAAGTAATCTCTTAAGTGCAATTTACAAAACTCTTACTTTGAAACTTAAGAAACTCTTGACCCTACATTTGCAACCTTCCTATCAGTGCTCCTAGACATATAAATTTACATCCTCTAAAGCATTTGCAAAAGTATAACTTTCAAAAAATGCTGTTAGCATTAGAATATTAGATGTTTTTAATAATCTATATTGCTTTTTAAGGCTTTTAACAGGTGGCAAAAAAAGCAGTTCTTTAACAATTAGCAGTTATTTGCTGATTCTTAGTGAAACAGGACAAATAGTCATTTAAAAGTCTGAATTCTCCTAGTTGTAGTGAAGCATTAGGAAGGAAAATACACAGTCGTTCTGGAAATGCCTGCTTAAATATTTTGGCAGAATTGAGCAAAACCAAATAAGTATAAACTACCTGCAAACAGATGTGCACTAAATGTGAGGGAAAGTTCTCTCATGAACAGAGCTGGCAAGATTAGAAAAGCCTTTCAACCAAAGCAGTAAGAACAAAGAATCTTAGCCACTTTAAGCCAATCTTCATTTGCTGATGAAGGTGATTACATACAATGTGCCTACCTGAAATACAGGAAATAAAGCATTTTTACTGAAGCAATGTTCTAACTCTTCAAATCTTAAGCAGCCCTACAAATCCTAGTGCCAGGATTTTCACTTTGTACTGTGAACAGAGAGGTGGGAAAGCTACAGGCTGCCCAGTGTTCTGTTCACAATCACCCTATGCCTTGTTGGGATGCTCTCTGTTAATAAGCTGTGAGAGGAAATGCTTTCAGCTAACATCTAAAGTCTCTGTGTTAATAATTTCCTTTGCACACAGTTAGAAACTCTGCCTTGCTCCTACCAAATATTTGATTTAAACCATGGGATTTTGCATAAATTAGAGGTGGATTTTGCTGTTTGTTGACTAAATTGCATGCTAATTTACAGAATCAATACAAGTGTGACCTAACTTTCCTGGATGGGCTTTTAATACTTTTTACATTGTTTACTGATATTGATAAATAAATATTTTGATAATCTGGAATAAAAGTCACATAGATGCAAATAAATGGGGAAATTGTATTTTCTTCCAATGTCTCAATAGGGTGTTTTTGCCTGAGAGTAAATTGAGAGTTCAAAAAAGCCTCCAGAATTAATCCCCCATCACTGTATGATATGCATTCTGTTGGTTTACAGGTGTTAAAAAACTCACAAATTCCTCTTTGCTGTTTACTGAAAGAGATATGAAAGTCCTGAGGCTGTACAAACTATTGGAACTAAAATTACTTTAATGAAAAGGACATTTTCTTATAAAACAAATATTGCACACCACTAAAAACCAGACAACTCCTGCTTAGTTCTGTAATTGTGCACTTTTGCTTTGCAGGAAGTTTGATTAAAAAAAGAAAAACAACAGGCACTTACTGTCTTTAAGTTGAATCTTAATATTTAAGAAAATAATGATATGTAACTTCTTAAATTAGAAACATTTTTTTACCTGGTACAGACTGTCTCTCATTCCATTCGCTTGTGATCAAAACCTCTAGGATTTTTATGTGGTGTTCTGTATTATCAGAGCTGCAAGAGACAGATTAGGCAGTGAGAACTAGGAGAAATTGCAAAGGTTTTCTTCATAATTATTCAAAGAACATAGGAAAAATTTACTACAATGCCCTCACAACAGAAACAAGGTCAGAACATTACTTAATTAACCTTATTTTTGTATATAACTAACCCATATTTACTGTTCAAAACATAAAGATGACCCACATACCTTGCTATCTGGAATTTGAAGAGCAGAGGGCTGAAAATTTCAGCCAGAGACCTTGTATTCAAGAGATTTTTGCTGGAGGCTTGACAAACTCTGAGGAAATGTTTGAGCAAATACTGGAGTGTGAGCCAATACTGGGGAGGTATATTTGGAGATCTGATGAGTTTCTTCAGCAACTGAGCATATTCCTCTGAGCTCTGCACTTCTGCAAGCAAACAGATAAAAGGCTCCTGATATCAGCACAGGAACAGTCAAGTAAAATGAAACTATGAGACTCCTTTCAGAAGCATCAATTTCACAGAAAAAGCACAATCATTTTGTCCTGCATTAGAGCTGCAAGATTTCCGTCTTCTCTCAAAAAAAAAAGAGTGAAATGCTCAGGGAAGAGTAAAGAACAAGTATTTAAAAGTCAAAAGGAAACAGATATGCATTTTGGTAAAAACCACAATGTGTTCAGAGTGTACTGGTAGAGGTCTGTCTTGTGTTTAGTGTCACACATGATTGGGTAATTCTGAGATGCACTAGATAAGTCTCACAGGTGCTGTTCTAACTTTGAAGGTTACCAGTAACAATATCCTGTCCTGAGATACAGAACAGAATACTTGGCCCACGTGCTGAAAGCCTATAAGCTGTACTTGTTTGAAATGACCACTGTAGATGATGAATCTCACATGCATGTATTTCTCACTTCATAATCTGCAACTCCCAATGTAACAGAGCACTCCATGACCTCCAATACATTTACTTTGTCAGCACTGATAAAAAGTTAAAATTTAGCTTTCTGCATACAGATAAGTGCTTGATTCCACCCCCTCCCCAGCTCTTCTATAGTATTTCTACTTGCTAAAATGAAGAGAACTGTGTTATCCTTTATATTTTCCACTATGTTTACCTAAATAAGTGATTGAACAATGCAGAACAATGTCTAGATGTCAACTGAAAAAAACAGCCTTCATCAGAAGTAGTGAAGGTATCTCTGAGATGCTGCCAGATTGTGCAGAATCTTCCCTGTTCTGTGGGTGACATGTGGGCCACCAGATCTGCAGAATTTTAATTAAAAACTTTTTTTTTGTCTGACATTTGAAATAATGCGATAATCATACCTTGAGCTACAGAAATCATGTCACTGCAAACAGCTGCTGGAATGATGGGATTTGGCAGGTCCAGGATATACCTCTTGAGAGCATCTGATAGAGTATGCACATCAAATGTCTCTAAATCTAATGAAGAGGCATCTAAAGCGAAAGAGCAAAACACTTTTCAGACTTCACAAACTGCAAAAAAATACAGGCTCATTGTATCTGTGCTTCATAACAAGCTAAATTTACTAATTTACATCTGGTTTACCTGGAACAACTCTTAAGAAAGAATGTAAGACACCAAGAAACATGTTTGACAGGAAGAACATAGAGTGTTCACGATCATGCCCAGGCCTCTGGTATATAATGAACCAAAAGACTTCCACAGTTGTGTATGGCCTTACGTCACATACAGTTCAGGGCTGGACTCAGAGTAACAGTAGTGACTTACTGCATGTTGACAATGTTATGGAACATCAGAATATTTCTAACAGGTGTCTGTTTAACCTGTAAATATTTTGTGAAAGAGGTAAGTATTAATCAAGGGTTTGATCAGATGCAGGTTCTCTGCTGGTAGCTACTTCTACTATGGCTGGAAGTTTGATTAACAACTTGGGGCTCCAAGTCTGTAAATATTTATGTGAGTAAGTTGAAACAAATATACACGTGTAGAACCGTGTGCCTGGTGTTTTATGCAGCTGTTAGGATTTACCTTGTAAAACCTGATACCCTTCCAGGATAGTTATGACTTGGGATAAGGTTTGGGGGTGCCACATAAAGGACTACTTATTTGAAAGCAGCAACAAAAACAAAAATAGGAAAATATAGAAATCCTTACTTAGTGGAAGCAAGATTAGTGTTCATTCTAAAACACGAAATTCTGGCACAGTAAAGTACAAAGTGTATTAAAAAAATCTGTATTTGGTACAAGAATTTAGAAGTATTAATGCTGATAACTTTCCACACCTTGAGTACTGTGCTTAATTCTGGGCCCCACAGTTCAGGAGGGACATTGAGGTGCTGGAGCAGGTCCAGAGAAGAGCAGCAAGGCTGGTGAAGGGGCTCAAGCACAAGTGCCATGAGGAGAGGCTGAGGGAGCTGGGGGTGTTCAGCCTGGGGAAAAGGAGGCTCAGGAGAGACCTTATCACCCTCTGCAACTCCCTGACAGGAGGTTGGAGTCAGGTGGGGGTTGGTCTCTTCTCCCAGGCAACCAGCAGGAGGACAAGAGGGCACAGACTCAAGCTCTGCCAGGGGAGGTTTAGGTTGGATATTGGTAAGAGATTTTTTATGGAGAGAGTAATCAGGCATTGGAATGTGCTGCCTGGGGAGGTGGTGGATTCACCATCCCTGGAGGTTTTCAAGATGAGACTGGATGTGGCACTTAGTGCCATGGTCCAGTAACCATGGTAGGGTTGGACTCGATGATCTTTGAGGTCTTTTCCAACCTGGTTGATTCTATGATTCTAGGACAGTCAGGTCGCCAGTAAAATAACTCCTGAATCCATCTGGCCAATTTAACCCAAAGTCGACAGGGAGGTAGAGGAATCAGCTCCATGGTATGTCTACAAACACTGTGAAATAAGGCAGCCTAGAGGGGTGAGTGAGAAACTTAGTGCTCCTCCACCACCTCCTTTCTGTTTTCCCCAAAGGAAAGCTTGCAGCATGACCTCAAATCTTATCAGTCACTGAAGAATTTTCATGAGAAAAAAGACATCATGAATGTCTCAGATGATAGAAAACTTGCAGTGTGAACTCTACAAGAGCAATTATGTGCCAGAGAATCCAACCACAAACTCTAAAGAAACAGTTTGTATTAGCTTTGTGGCTCATGGGATGCTTTTTGTTTCATAAACCAAGTTAAACCATGGCTCTTCAGTGTTGGCCCATTCTCTGAAGTGTATCCCGAATTATTATAATGAACACATGAGTAAGAATAAACTTACTCTGCAGTTCTTTGGGTGTAATGTCATCAACAGACCTGAACCCTTCCATCTGCTGAGCATGCCAGATGCAAGTCAGCTTTGATTCTTGGAGCTTGATAGCACTGTGTTGATGCTAACAGACAGTTATCCAATTAATATGGAGAGCATTTGAACCATTAGCAGAACAGCACACTAATGCAAGTTCACAACTTTCAGACCAAAGCCGACTTTGCTCTCTGAATTAGCGTTCTGCTAATTCAAAGAGGCAGAGGAGACGAGATCTGTCTGTATCCATGTACCTGGATACAATTCACCAGCTCTGTCCTGGAAGATTCTGATCCTATCTTAAAGAAAACTCATAAAAAGACACTGTTGCAAAAGGGTAAAGTCCTGTTTTCGTTTCTCAAACCTACCTACATTTTAAATAAGAATGCATGTAAACCACAAGGTTTTGATCTCAGGAGATAGATGAACCTTTCATAAAAGTACATCTCATTTTAGAGACCTAAAAAAAGGTTCATATAAATTAAGAGAGAGATTCATATTAGTGCCACAGAAAACCTGGATTTATCTGGACTGAAAAATACAGCACTAAGAACACGGCTGCTAGCACCACATGCATGTCTCCTCTCACTGCTTGCACACGTATCAGCAGAGGACAGGATGCTCTCTTGTCTTGAAGGAACAGACAACTCAGTGTCATCTCTTATTAATTCTGTTAATGTTTGCAAGTATTAAAAATGAAGAGGCTAATTCACAGTTTGAGTTTGCTTTCTTTATTCCTTTGGCAACAAGGCATGCAACCAGTTTCATTTTCTACCCCTGGTACTTTGCACTCTTTTATGCAAGTGAAAGTTCACACATCACACCCTAGTTCGGTCAAGCCCTCCTACAATAGCTCCTGGTCTCTCATGCTGCAGGAGAGCTGCCATGCCAGTATATTCTAGCCTGAAGTAGATATAAAGAGTACCAAAAAGAAAAGGAAATATATTTCAGGAAACTTGAACAGGTATGTGGTGTTAGTGGTGTAGTGGCATTTTACTGTCTAAAACCTAAGAACTCAGCCTGCATGTTAATTCAATTGTCTGTTTCCCTTTCAGTATCTCTCTGCAGCAGGTAGGGAATGTGTAGCTATTGCCACCTCACCTCCTGGACCAAAAAAATGCACACACTGAACTCTGTGTAAACAAATGGACACTTGTTTACAAAATAATAACCTGCAGCCCTACAGGAATAGTGTATCTTTATCTTGGTTCTTGTTTTTCTCAGTACAGCTAATTTGCCAGTCCTTGAACAAGCATGAGAACAAGAAGTGAATAAAATAAATATTCTTGGGCAAAACAACATGCAGTGGAGCCATGAAAAAGACAACCTGTAAAAGTGCAAAACACCTTTCATATTAAGTGTAAAAGTTAGAAAAAATTTTTTTACTTATATTTGTCTTTTTAATAGTGTATTACTGAGAACCAGCACAGATGAGTGGGGGAGCAAACCAAAGAGGAGTGGTTTGACCACAAATCTGTTTAGTGCTTTAAGGAAGAGAACTGTACTTACCACATTCAAAAATCTGTCTTAATTCTGCTGAGCTGCTTGAGCCTTGTGTTCCATACAAGGTTGAGCACTCCAGACCTTCAAAAAAACCCGATGGGATATATTAGTATCTCAGTGACTGTTGCCTTGATGCAACTTTGTTTTTTTCAGTAAATACTTACAGCATAAATTAGCAACATTCTTCCACCACCATCCACCTACCACACTATGGAATGTGATTGCTTTTTAAACCTGTAAGTCACCCCTTTGTGCATGTAAACTGCTGTGCCTGCAGAAAGAGCTGGAGAAAGAGCATCAGAGATGCCAGCAGTCCCATGCATTCTGTACAACTGTACTCAGGCCACCTGCAGAAGGCCAGGACTAGCACACAGATTCACTGTGGTGTGAGAGAAAATATCTTTATATGTCACATAATACGTCTCCTAATCCACCTGAGTAAGTGACATCAGTATAGTGTTTTCACGTAAAAGATGCCATTTACAGCTTCCCTACTTCAGTGAAAATAGAGAAGACACAAGGAAAGCAACCATACCCAGGGATGCAGAGCACTGCTGATTTAATACTATCAGTGGTGTTTCCTCAGAGCAGTAGCTCCTTATGCAAACTGTTGCTAAATACTGCCTCTTCTCCTTGATATTAGCAAGCTCCTATTCATTCAGGGAAGGCTGACACACAAAGTGTCAAAGCAGCATGTGAGAACCTCTGTCGCCAAGGACAGCTGCCTGATTCTGATCAGAATAACACTTTTCCTCTCATTCCCCAGCTTAAGGCCACTGAATCAGCAGGACGCGCTGAGCTGCTCCTTACCTCACCAGGACTGTGAAGGCAACATCACAGCAGGTGACAGGAGGAGATAAATAGGGCAAAAGAGGTAGAACATAGCAGAAGAAAGGGCGAAGCCTCAAAATGTTTGAAAGACATCAACATGGGAAAGCAAGAGAGAAAAAAATCCCATAAACCCAACACTGGCTGGCTCAACATATAGCAGTAATAAAGTACTTGCTCCTGAAGTATAAAACCAGTTCTTGCAACTTTGCCCACTTTGGGGCAAAACATTACTTGTTGGCCTGTGTAACCAACTGTGATGGTGTTTTCATAATCAACTTAAGGTGTTTACTGGCTAGGAAAAAACAAAGCAGTACCAAACCCTTCTCCCTTACCTTTCAATAATACTTACATTAGTTCCTAAATTTCACTTAAGGTAAGCTATAGTTTTTTCTCCTACAGTCCAAATAGCCTCTACTAAGCAGAAACCAATGCAAACCTCAAATGAGATTATTTTGGTTCTATTATGGAATGTGATGTATTAGTAGCTCTAGAAAGGGGAGATACTAGCTCTGATCTGATTCTGCCGTCTTGGTTCACATAAGTAAGAACAAACCTTGGTAGATCATTCTTTAGCCTACCTTTCTTTTCAATTGTCTCCACTATCTTGACAAGAATCGGTGGAGCAACATCAGGAGGTACAAATTGCTCTGTAAGATCTGGCAGTGAAAACACTGTAAAAGAAAAAGAAGAACAATAAGCTACAGGTGAATGAAACTCCCGTTTATGAAAATTATGACCTGTAATGCAACCAATTATTTCTGGTAAAAGAACAAACATCCCACTTGTCAGGGCTACATGAGAACACTTCATAAAGATATCAGAAAACTGAATGAACATGAAGAAAATTGCTTTTTTATAACATCTTTTGGAGGACTTAGTCACTCCTAGAATCACTCTCCATATTGCCTGGGAAAAAAAACCACAATCAATGCTTGTATTCTATGGATGTGCAGAAATACAGTGCAAGGAAGCAAATTAAAAATCTTTTGCTCTGAAACATTTACATACACTGTGCACCAAGTGAGGGAGCTAAATACCTCACTTCCAGAGAGTCGCTAATCCCCTGCATAAAACAGACTAACAAAGGCCTGAAACAGCTGTTAAACAATAACACTCACACAAAAGATCAATAACTTCTGTTTATTTCAATTTTCAAACATAATACTGTTAACAGTAAATTTTACTTGAAGCGAGGACTTTCTTTCCTACAAAGGCTGATTAAGAACAAATAGCTGTACAACCAGAAAGGAACATTTTACAGATTCAAACCAGCCTGCATACAGATTTTATACGAAGCCAGTTTTCATGCAGTCTAGTTTCTTTATCGAGAGAATACACTGTATAAAGGAATGTTCTCACTCTGTGATGTGAGGGATGATCTATCTCTAAACACACAATTTTTTGCCAAAAGAATAATTCTGAAGTTTTAGACCATTCCTGTTTAACACTTGGAAAGCAAGAACGTTTACATAAAGATGTTATTAAACTACTGCCAGCAACATCTGGCATAGTTTGACGGATTATGATTGATAAACAAAGCTTAATCACTGAAGTAAAAACTGCCAGTTGACTAAGTGATGGTGATCTCTGCCCAATGAAACTCATGATGGACAAACAGAGAGCAATTCTTAACACACGTGCACATAGGTGCCTGCAAGGATATGTATACATGGATGCACAAGCACACACCCTATTCTTAGAACATTGAAACTGAACAAAATCATGAGGATAACTAAGTAGAAGAAAAAAACATAACAGAAAAATATGAATAGAGAGTTCTCAAAGAAAAACTCTGGGATAGCAAAAAGAAATTAAATATGCAACAACTGAGAAAGAGAAAGCTGACAGTCTTGGCTGATAATTCACCCTATTTTGGATTACATAACTTCATAAAAGTGAGAACAGTTTTGCTGTGGTTTAACCCCAGCCAGCAACTAAGCCCCATACAACTGCTCTCTCACTCCCCCCTGGTGGGATGGGGGGAGAGAATCAGAAGGGTAAATCTGAGAAAACTCGTGGGCTGAGATTCAGACAGTTTAACAGGGAAAGCAAAAGCCATGCACACAAGCAAGGCAAAACAAGGAATTCATTCACTGCCTCCCACAGGCAGGCAGGTGTTTAGCCACTCCAGGAAGGCAGGGCTCCATCACTGGTTACAGTGACTTGGGAAGACAAACGCCATCACTCTGAACATCCCCCACTTTCTTCCTCTTCCTCCAGCTTTATACACTGAGCACTATGTTCTACAGCATAGAATGACCCCGTGGTCATCTGGGGTGTCCTGGCTGTGTCCCCTCCCAACTCCTTGTGCACCCCCAGCCTCCACACTGGTTGGGTGAGGAGCAGAAAGGCCTTGACGTTGTGCAAACACTGCTCAGCAATAGCTAATAATTCCTTGTGCTGTCAGCACTGTTTCCAGCATGAATTCAAAAGACAACCCTATGCTAGATACTACTGAGAAAACTAACTATACCCCAGACAAAACCAACACAAATTTACAAACAGTATGACAGCAAGGATGGGACAGATGTTTGGAAGTATAGAAAGATGAGAAGAGAAATGAAAGGTAATGAATAATTATTTACAAAATAGTATTGGAAGTGAAGCATACTGGGACACTGAGACATGTCCCTTGCCAGAAGAAGGAAAATGATGGTACCATAATGATGGAATACTTTCTAGTCCATTCATAACTGAGGACATTAGAAAAACATCTGTTAGTCATAGCAGTTTAACTTAGGAGGCCCAGAAAATAAGCATGCTGGAGTCCCAAAAGAGTTGCCTAAGCAGATCTCTGACCTGCTGATGTTACTTTTTAATGATTTATGGAAAATCAGAGCAATTCCTGGGTATAAAAAGAGTTCCAATGCTTGACACATTCTGAAAGGACAAGTAACATGACTACATGCTAGTTATATTGTAAGTTTTGGGCAAAATAAAGAAAAACCTGATACTAGGCTCATACAAAGCAATAAAAGACAGCACTGTAACTAAGGACTGTCTGCATAGCTATTTAGAGGATATGTTGCTTCCTTGGTAGCACCTTAGCGAGCTGAAAAATGCAAATGAGTAGACCTAATACACTCTGTAGGTTTGTGAGACTGCTGACTTAGTACAATACCAATTGAAACCTGAATTCAAAGAAAGCAGGTTAGACAGATGTAGCTGACCATCATACCTCCAAGTACAGTTATCAATGCAGAGCAAGCTACTCAGGAACAAGTGGACTTTTCCACTTTTTCCATCTTCAAATCACCCTCAGGTTCCACCTGGATCACCTCTTTTAGCCTAACATCATATCTGCTTTATCAAACATAAGATGAGCACAAATGGAAAATGCTGCACTCTAAGCAGCTTCTGCTGAGGCATGCTAAAATACAGACCATCTCATTTGTAATATTCAGATCAAATAGCTCCTTTAAACCCCAAACTATGAATCTATCTTATGATGAAGGCAAATCTGTTGAAAGAAGAGATGAAACACCAGAGTCATATCAAAGGGTGTGCTATGAAAATACTCAGGTTATGAGAATGCTCAGGGCTTAAAGCAAAGCCCTTAGAAGGTAGCAGAGGAAGAAGAGGTTTTAAGAACAGAGTTTACATATTTTTACCTATGAAAGTAACCTTTTGCTCCCTTAGGTAGCTAGTTCCATTAAGTTTTTCCCTCTTGCATAACAGCAACAAAGCTGCATCATCTCTGAAGGAAGATGCTAATCTCGTAATTCCGGCTGCAGGCAACATGCAGCCACAGTCAGCAGTCTAAACTGAAGTTGAGGAAAGAGACAAAGAAGAAGAGACAGAGGACAGAAGTCACACCTGACAAACACTTGAAACACATCAGGTTGCTCAGATTGATGGTTCAGGAATGGTCCGTCCAGGCTACTGAGCAGCACAGAGAACTGTGATTTCTTCCATTAACCCAACTGTGCCTTGAAATGATGGCAAGAGAAACAAATATCTATAAACAAGGTGCATTTAGAAAAATAATTCCATTTCCCACTGGATTTAGACTTTCTACAATGAGGGATGGAGACCAAGCAAAGCAGAGAACAGAACCCAAGCGTCAGGGAAGACTTCAGTTCATGGGAAGTAGCCCTTGCAAGGTGAAGGCAAGACAATGCAGAAGACAGTTTGACTCCATGGGACATAAGGAATGGGGTGGTGTAGACCTTACCTACGTTACCTAAACAGAGAGTGCCTCTTCCTGCAACCTACCTGATGCTCCATGCTTTCCATCTAAACTTTCAGCAGAATTTTGGCTTATAAACTAGGTTTTATCATAATCTATTGCTGAATATCTTTGTTGTACAGTATTCCTTGATCAATAACATTCTTACTTAAAGTGAAAGGTTTTTGGAAGCTCTGCATTTCCCTTTATATTTATGCAAAACCTGCAATATCCTTACAGAACATGTGCATGCAAAGCAAACATCACATTGCTTAAAAGGAATGGTTCCCAAAACATCTCTGCTACCCTAAAATATGTGGTTTAGGAGTTCAGAGGATTTCTGATATCTCTTCCTCCCTTTATCCCATTAGTTTCCGAAACTGGAACCTTGTATCTTCCAAAGACACTGCTGAACTCTTAGATATGACAAGAAACTTTAAAAGAATGACAATTTATTCCATAAATACACAGTCTGTAAAATACTTGTGTATTTGATTGAAAACCCAGGATATTTCCCTCTCTTTTAAAACCATGTACACTGGTAAGTACAAGCGCTACAGCTAAAATACGAAGACAACACACACACACAATGGCAGGTACAAAACTTGCAGTTACCTTCAAGGCAGCAATGACAGAAAAATATGTATAAGTCACACAGTTATACTGCTCAGCAACACAGAAGAAAAAAGGTTCACTAATCAGCATGTAGGACATGGCATTAAAAAATTAAAATCACTTAACCTCCCACCTGTTCTAGGATTTCCTACTCATTGTGGCAGCTGCAATATAATTAATGCACAGCTTCCTACTGACTTTTACTTTAAATTTCCCATCTTTTGCACAAAATAGAAAATGATGTTCATTCCAAGGCAAAAGGCCTCACAAAACACATCTGTCAGGAAAAAAAAAGAAAAAGATTTAACGGTACTCATAACAGTATTCACAGAACTGAAGCTGCTTTATAACATTTACATTGAAGACAGCCCAATTTGGGAAAAGTGCACTTCAGTTTCAAAACGCTGAGAGAAAATCTCAGAGGCTAAACTGAGGAAAACTACACCTAATTTTGGAAAGAGAAGTTTCTATTCCCAGAGCCAGAATCCAAGTTATGCCTAAAGAAGTCCTGATTCTACATGAGATGTTCCATAAGAAAGCATGCATATTGAGATCTACAGAGGGAAAGGAAAACTTTTGAGATAGGTCAGTTTTAGAAAAAGAGAACTGAACAAAAGCTCACATGCAATCTGCATTTAGTACCTGATTTCAAAAGAACTCCTTGCTTTGAAGCATGCTGCAGTACAGCACAGAGGTTTGGATAACCAAATCAACACTTAAGGGTCTAAGCAACTCTGTAGATCCCTTTACTAAAATCCAGTACCAGTTTTTCATTTAAAGCAATACTTTTCCCTTCAAATCCCGGTTGTTTTGTTGGTTTGGTTTTGGTTTTTTGGTTTGGTTTTGGTTTTTTTGAATTCCAGGGTCTCCAAAATATTATGGTTCTGA